CCCCTCGTCGTCCCCCCTCAGACTCTGTCGTGCTCCTCGCCCCCCTCTTCTGCCGCCTCTGCCCCCCCCCCTCCTCGATCCCTCGGACCCTGTCGTCCCCCGCCTCCCCCACTCCTCCCCCCCCCGCCTCCCCCCCTCCTCCCCCACCTCAGACACTGCCGTCCCCCCCCCCCCACCCCACCATCCTCCCCAAGGGGGGAGCGCACTCCTCTCCCCGCGTCCCCGTCCTCCTCCCCCACCTCAAGACACTGTCGTCCGCCTCCCTCCCCCCCCCCCGCACCCCACCTCCCCAGGGGGGGGGGGGCGCATGCCGTCCGCCGGGCGCGCTCCGACTGCGGCGTGGGCCGTGCCCGGCGCGAAGGGCACGTGGCTGTCGAAGACCAAGGAGCGCGCCTTCGGGGCGGAGGGGCGGTGGTCGGGGGCGGAAAGGAGGGGGGTGATGACTGGGGGGGGGGGTGGATGTCATGGCGGGGGCCATGATATTCCTCCAGAGTTCATGGCGCCTCTTCTTATTTCATTACGTCCCTGTCCCCGAGAGGGCCAGAAATTGTCGGGTGGGAGGTCCCAAGAACAGAGTTCCAGAGGCGCGGTGGGGGGTGTCGGTAAGTTTCAGGCCAGAAATTGCCGGGCGGGGGGATCCCAAGAAGAGAGTTCCAAAGGCTTGGGGGTGCCGGGGGGGGTATTTGTCGGGCGGGGGGGGGGTCCCAAGAACAGAGTTCCAGAGCGCTGGGGGTGCCGGGGCGGGCCCTCGGGTGATCGTTTTCTGATTCCTTGAAAGGCCGATCGGCGCGGGCCCTCGCACTGGATCTTGGCTGTTTTTTGCCGCCTGTTTCGATCAGGTGGAGTCTCCCCCATGATGATGGACGCCCTGCTGCAAGCAGTCACTTTGAGCAGAGGTCCGGAGCCAGATCTCACACCTCCCCCCCCTTCCGCCCAATGCCGAACGCCGAAGAAGAGCACGCCCACTAGTCGGAAGGAAGGGAAGGACCCGTTCTCGAAGTCGTTCCCCGGGACGTTGCGTCCCCCGCCCGTCCTTGTCGAGGGCGCCTTGGGTTTGCGGAGGCGCTGTCTCTCGGCGTTGGACATGGTTGTGCAAGGATCCACCAGGATGATCGACGACGAACCATGCTGCATGAACATACCTGTTCGACGGCCCGCGCGGATTTCTCGGATCTGCGCTGGACACCCAGGCGCGCCCCGCGCCCCCCAGGGGGGGGTGCAGCGAGTTGATGAGGACCCCTCCTGCGCTGCGAGCGTGAGCCAGGCGCGGCGGGAGGCACCGTGGCCGTGTCATCGGTTCCGGTCCTGTCGGAGGGCCCTCGCGCCCCCAACCAAGGCCTTGCCGACCCGGGCCCCTTCCGCCGCGGGGCGCCAAGAGACTCGGCGCATCGCCTGCTCAGCACCCCGCCTTTCTACCTCAATCGCTTTGCGCCGGGAGGTTGTTGTTTCGACCTCCCACGCACCCCTTTGTGGGCGCCACCGCTGAGCGTGCAATGGCGGCCTTGGTTGCCGCGGTAGCCGGCTGTCGACGGGACTCCTGTTTGATTGTTCGACCTCGCTTTCCCTCTCTCTCTCTATCTCTTTCTCTTTTTCTCTCCCTCTCTGTTGCTCTCTCTCTCTCTCTCTTTTTTCCTTTTTTGCGCGGGCTGGCCGCCCCGCGACGCAATCAGCCCCCGCATCTGTTCGAGTTCGCGCTGTGGCCAAGCACCCAGGGCGACTCCAGCCGCGGCTTCGAGGGCGCTTCGCAAGTCGAGGGCGCCTGAGCGGGGGATGAATGAAGGTAGTTCGTCGTCGAGGGGCTTGGGGCGTTATTTATCTTCCCTTTTCAAAAAAAGACGTGTTTCTTTGTTTCGGGAGCCGTTGTTTCTGCGTTTTGGGATTGCCGTCTCGTCGTTTTCGGTTCGTGCCGACATCCGTTGTTACGTGTTTTGAGTTCCGTTTTTTGGTGTGTCCCCTTCCTGCCAATTGTATGCGGTTTTGGGTTGCCTTTTTTTCCTGCGACGTTTTGGCCTGCAGCTTTTCTGTCGGTTTGGGCCCAGTCGGTGTCGTTGACGCGTTGTTCCTAGGGTTGCCGTTATTGTTATGTTGCGGTTGGCCGCAACACGGAAAGTTGAAAACGGAAAAGCACGCCCCCAGCGTGTGCAATAATAGGTGAAGAGCGGGACGGGGAGAATCATAAATCAACGTACAAACACTGACACAATGAATCGTCCATCCCCAGGAATGCATGGGAAAGTGTGGGCAGTGGAGGGGAAGACGGAACACCAGGAAATATATGGAAACGTATCAGGAAGCCTGGGATTTGTGTTTTGTGGGTCCTTTCAAAGGAGTCTTCGCTGGCTATCGAAAATATATTGGCCCCGCGCCTAGTCATCGGAGCTTTGTTGGGGCGCCCCGAACCTCCCCATGGGGCAGTCGGAGGCTCAACACACGACTCCAGAACCACCAGGCTCGGCTAAAGGAGGGGTGGGGGGCTTAGGATCGACGGAAAACGAACGCCATAAGCAACAACTTTTGGCGTTCCGCGCGGATTTCTTGGATCCGCGCTAGGCCCCTCCGGCGGCGCTTCCGGGTCCGCCCCTGGCGCGCTCCGCGCGCCAGGGAGGGGGGTCCAGCGCAGATCCAACAACTCCGCGTGGAGCGCCAACAGTTGAATTTAATTGTTTTTTCGTATAGGAGGGGACCTTGGTTCTATGGCAAGGGCCGCGTCATCTTCCAGGAGTCATGCCCCCCTTTTTTTCCAGGGCCCTCCCCTCGACCCCCCCCCCTCGTCCGCGCACATGTCTCGGTCCATGGTGCGTTCATGCCCCTTTTCCCAGGCCCCCCACTTTGGGCGCGCCCGACAGCCGACGGCTCGGGATGGAGCATTGTCGGTTCCGCGCAGGAGTGGCACTTCGTCAGAGTGACCTTTGGTGTAAGTCTGGCTTTTCCCCCTACAGGGGGAATAATCAAAATAGTACATGTTTGGAACACTTGTTCTATATAGCATTTGTTCAAGTGTTCAATACAGTGGACAATTTGCATGCTTGAATATTTTTGGAGCATTTGTTCAAGATGTTTGTTGACGTTTTTTGTTTCAATCTTGCGTCCAACATACGCCTCTAGGGGGGGCATGCCCGACCTGACCTTCTAGTGCGGTCCTACCAGTGACCTCCAGGACCCGGCCTGCACGCTTGGACGTGGCCCTCTCGGGGGCGGCAAACAGAAGGGGGGGATGACCTGGGGGGGGGGGGGATATCGTGGCGTGGGCCATGCTACTTCCCCAGATGCCACGGCGCCTCTTCTTCTCTCGCTACGTCCCTGGGCCCCCCCCTTGGGCCGCGCGCGTGCCGCCGGCCATGTGCCCCCCCCCCTCGTGGACGCCCCCCTCTCGGCCGCCCCCCGGCCCCCCTCGTGGTCCCAGAACCGCCGTGCGCTGGGGAGCCCCTCCGCGCGCGGAGCCGGCGCGGGCCCCGCGGCAGGGATCCAAAGATCTCTGAGGGTCGACGGTGCGAGCAAGGACAAGACGTCGCGTGCCTGTGAAGGAGGAGGAGGAGGAGGAGGAGGAGGAGGAGGAGCAGAGGAGGAGGAGGGGGGGGGAACAGAGGAGGAGGAGGAGGAGGAGGAGGAGGAGGAGGAGAGCACGATGAGGAGGAGGAGGAGGCGGAGGAGGAGGGTGATGAAGAGCAAGAGGGAGGGAGGGAGGGAGGGAGGAGGAGCAAAACGGGGAGGAAGACGAAGAAGCGTAAAGGGCAGGAACGTGATTGGGAGGAAGAGGGATGATGAGAACGATGACGATGAGGAGCAGCAGTAGGGGAGGATGGTGACGAGGAGTTGAGTGCCCCCCCCAAAAGCTCTCTTGGGTTGCCCTGGGCCGTCTCTGGAAGCACTCGTTTCGAGAGCCTCTGTTGCAGCTTCCCTCCGTGCGCTTCTGGAGCCTCTTGAACCGCCTGGCGGCTCTCTGAAGGCATCCTCTTGGCCGCCTGCCGTCGTAGGGGCCTCCTGGATAATTCCGAATTCGGTGATCACGACATGCCAGTGTCCCCGAGGGGCCGGCGACTTTCAGCGCGTCCTTTTGCCGATCGCCCACAGTTTGTGCAACGGACTGCCAGTGGCCCCGCCAGGAGCAGCAGAGAACTGCTGCTCCTCGCCCTAGAGTTCGTTATTTCCGTCCTCCGCCCCGTGCAGTGCCACGTCTGCGAGAGGGGCCCCATGATATCGGCAGGTCTCGCCCTGACTCCACGCGAATTAGGAGAGGACCAGGTACCGATACCGATGCCCTTCTCTTTTTGCTTTGCGGACCTCCTGGGAGGCCCTCATCGCCACGGCGGTATGATCCTCGAAATCCTGGCCAGAACGCACCCCAAGGAGGTCTGGGGAGGAGCGCTATCAGTATTTCTGTTACCCCTCCACGGAAAGGGCTGGCAGGGTAGCGTCGCTGCATCGCCCTCCTCCATGCCCCCTCCCTTCCCATTCCCCTTGTCGGGGGAGCGTAAGACCCGGGTTTGCCAGGACTCGGGTTCGCCATCGTTTTTTGACGACCGCGCCTCGGATTTTGACGAGGAGGAGTTTCGTGGGATGTCTGCAGCGGGAGGCCTCGTCAAAATGCAGGCTCGGCCTCGTCATTTGTTTGAGGACCTCGTCGGGGATTTCCGAGTCCCCTGTACCCAGGTCTTACGTCCCCTTGACCCCTGTATGAGAAACTATGGGGGATTATTTTATTTGTGCGTATTTATTTGTGTGTTTGTGGGCCCCTTCATCCATGCCCCCTCCCTTCCCGCTCCCCTCGGCCTGCGCGCCCTCCTCGTTCACTCCGTTGTCGCTCTCCTCCCCGTCACGGCGCTCCGAGGTCTGGGCAGGACAGGTGTCCGCCGGGGCTTCTCCACAGAACTCCTCCTCCTCCTCTTCCCCCTCCTCCTCCTCCTCCTCCTCCTCCTCCTCTTCCACCTCCTCCTCCTCCTCCTCCTCCTCCTCCTCCTCCTCCTCCTCCTCCTATTCTTCCCCATCCTCCTGCTCCTCCTCCTCCTGCTCCTCCTTCGCCTCCTCCGCCTGCTCCTCCTCCTCCTCCTCCTCCTCCTCCTCCTCCTTCGCTGTTCGCGCGGCGCAGCCACGAAGTTCGGTGATCGGGCCTTCCCTCCGGACGCTCGACGCCCCCTCCTCGTCGATGACGCCCGTGCAGTCGCTGGGGCCCGCGCCACTGGCACGGCACAGCTCGGTGTGAAATCCACACTGCCAGAGGCGAGTCCGGAGGAGTGAGCCACCGATGCGATGGCCCCTCGCGAGTCGGGGGAGGGTCGAGCTTGCGGTCATTGCAGTTTCAGGCGATCGCGAACATGGATCAAGGGGGCGTGGATTAGCGGCGGGTCCCGCTTCCAGGGGCGAGGCGGCAAGGGCCGCGTTTTGGCGAGGGCACCTCCCCAGACCCATTGATTTGGCGACCGCGCGCCAAATCCATGGATCGCTAATCCATGTTTGCGCGCCACCGATAGTTGGCGTGGGGTAGGTGGTCACACCGTCCTCGGAGAGGCCCTCCCTCGAGTGCGGGCCAGAGTGCCATGCCCGCGAGCGGAACCGGCAGGAAATGGGGGAGGAAGAGGCACACGTTCCCTGCTGCCTCTCCCTCCCTACTCTTCACCGCGACGGGGAGCTATGGCGGAAGCTTGAGTTCAGTTTGCCTCGCGCGGGCAAGCGCGAATGCCCACATTTTTCAGATGCACGCGTTATTGCCAAAGCAAGCGCCACGAGGGCAAGCCCGTGCCCGTGACGGTCACTGAGGCGCGCGTGAGAAGGGTGGCGAGAGTGGGCGCTAAGGAAGGTATACCACTTAGAGAATGCGTGAAGAGAGGGGATGCGACGAGAGCAAGGGGGACGGGGAAGGAGGAGGGGAACGGGCTTAGTGGGCCCCGGAAGCGGCAGGGCCGTTTCTTCACCGTTTACGAAAAAATGTTTCTCGAAAGTGGAAACGGCAAAACAACGTCTCCAGGATTGGAACCAGAGCCGGAATTGGTAAAACAAAGGCGACGGAACCGGTAAAAAGACTTTGTCGGAGCAGCCAACAAAAATGGGCAAAATAGAACCGGTAACAGAAACAGCCCTGTCGTTTCCAGGGCCCCATTATGGACAGAGGAAAGGCGGAGGGGGAGGAGGAGCGAGGCGATGAAAGAAGGAGGATTGCGCGAAGGAAGCTGGGGACGAGGAGGTCAGTCGCCCCCAGCACACGCCTGCACAGGGCCGCTGTCTCTCTTTCTCTCTTGCGAGGGCTGGCCCCTCGAAAAAAACAGCCCCCCGATCTGTCCCGCATCGCGTCCAGGCGAGAACCTCGGGGCGTATCCAGCCTTGGCGACGAGAGAGTCGGGGGCGTCCAAGAGGGGCGTGAGGACGTTTGCTGTTCTTCTTAGGGGGGGATGGGGAGGTGGAAGCCTGCAGTGGCGCCCTGTGGAGAGCTTTTCCAGGGGTGCCAGGATCGTCCCGAACGGCCGTTCGAGACCCGAGCTACGACCCCGAACACATCGTGCGCCGAAGGGGGGCGGTGATGGCTAGGGGGGGGAGCGGGCGGGGGAAGTCGGGGCAGGGGCCACGAAGTCCCCCCCTGTTGCATGGCCCCCCCTTCCTCTTTCGTCGACGTCCCCTGGCTCGGGTGGCCCCCCCCGCGTCCTCGCACGTGCCTCGGGCCACGATACGCGAACCTTGGACGCACTGGAGAGAAGCAGAACGACGGAACGCGTGGAGATCTCGGGGACCGTCGCCAGGCGTGGTTGCCGCCGTCCCTCCGCCGGAGGTGGACGCCTCGTCGGGGGCCGTCACCGTCACCTTCGACTCCGATCCCTCGGCGTACAAGGTCCGGGTGTTGCGGGAAGCGGCCCTGACCTTTTTGTGGGCCCCGGAAACGGCAGGGCCGTTTTTTTCACCGTTTCCAAAAAAGTGTCCCTTGAAAATGGAAACGGCAAAAAAAGGCGACCGGAAACGGCACAAAAACGGCTCCAGGATTTGAACGGGAGCCGGAACCGGTCAAAAGACGGCGACGGAACCAGTAAAAAAGCGGCGTCGGAACCGGCAAAAAAAACACGGCAAAACGGAACCGGTAAAACAATTGCCCTGTCGTTTCCAGGGCCTAAGGTCTGGGCCCCATCCCCGGGACCAGTTTCTCATCCTGAGTCTCAGGTCGGGCATGTCCTCTACAGGCGGATGTTGTGAGCGACAAGTCAAAAGGACCCCAACGAGAATATTCAAACGTAGTCAACAAATGCTCAACAAATCGTCGCATACGATGTTTTTGTTGTTGTTATTTTTGAGTACTCCTCCTGCAGAGGGACACGCCCGACCTAACCTGAGTCTCGTTGGTGATGGTCCAGGGACCCAGCGCTCCATCTTGCAGCGCTGGGGGCTCTCTTGTCCTCGTGCTGGGGTGCTCGGGGTGCTCTGGAGGCAGGGGGCACCTTTGGCCAGGGGCACTTGAGCATTCAGTCGGGCCTGTCCCTCTACAAGAGGAATCTTCAAAAACAGCACAACATAGTCCGGGGACTGGGTTTCGATTCTTTGCTGATGCTTTGGGGTCGTTGTTGGCCACTTCTACGCATTCCTCCTAAATCCGCCTGTAGGAGGACACGCCCGACCTAATTCCACCTGGCATCACTCGGACGTGTGCATTTTTTTCTCGGCGAGAACCACTCAGGAAGATCCTGGAACATCGAGCAACAGAAAACACACACGAAACCGACAAATGCACGGGAAATGGACGTCCGAGCGGTGGCGAGCGGTCCGGCAACCCCCGGAGAGGTGGTGCCCGTCTCGCAGTTCGGGGCCGGCGGCCCGCTGCAGCCGGCGGCGCCGCGGCCAGGCCGGCCAGGCTGCGCGGTTTCCCCCGGCGAGGTGCTGGCAGCGGCGGCGGCGGGCGCCGCGAAGAGGATCCGCAGAGGAACGGTGCTCGCAGGCCAGTCCTTCATCCTGGGCCTCCTCCTCCTCCTCCTCCTCCTCGTCCTCCTCCTCCTCTTTCCTCGTCCTCCTCCTCCTCTTTCCTCTGCCCCGTCCACGTGCCACTCTTCGTGTGCGTCGTCGTGCCGGCGGAGAGTCTCGGGTCCGTTTGTATCTGAAGCTTCAGTTTCCACAGATAGAGAACCCGGAGAACCCCTGCCACAGCTGCCTCTAGCAGCCAATTCTGTTCGACTTGCTCGCAGGCCTTCATTGAGCCTTGGAGGACGTCCATGCTCCCTTCGTTGCGCCTTTCGCCTTAGTGTTCACCCACTCTGACAATGCTGTTTCTGCCAAACAGCGCGATCGCACGATCGGCCCTTTCGGTGCCCAGAAATATGGTGCGACTTTCCTAGCCTCCCTATCGACAGCAATCGGACGCCTCAGCCGAGCTCCTCCTCCTCCTCCTCTTCCTCCTCCTCCTCCTCCTCCTCCTCCTCGTGGGCGCCTGGCGCTGAAGGCAGCCAGGTCCCTAAGCTTGGCATCGCTCGGACGTGTGCGTTTTTCTCGGCGAGCAACATCGAGGAGCAGCAGCCGGGATCAGTAGCACGGGAAGCACGCACGAAACCGACAAATGCACGGGGGAAAGGACGCCCGAGCGATGGCCAAGAGGGGGAGGAACTCAGATATATCAGGCATCAGGAGGGGAAGGAGTGGGGGAGGTGCGGCGTTGCAGCCAGCGGTGAGGTTCGAAGAAGCAGAAGACAGAACTACATAAACATAATGTCTGGGCGCTCCGCCTGCATTTATTGGATCCGCGCTGCCCCCCCCCCCCCCCCAGCGGCGCCTCCGGCGCCGGCTCCAGCGTAGGTGTATGCCGGTTCTTCTTCTTATTCTTCTCAAGGCGCCTGCTCCTCAACCCAGCCTCCTCCTCCCCCGTCCTCCTCCATCCTTCACCCTCCTGTGCTGGGGCAAACTTATACGTCGTTTGCCTTCGGTTCTGTTCAGTGCGGGAGTGCATAGGCGAGCCCCCATGGCGTCCCCTAACGGAGGTCTCGTTTTTGCCAGTGGTATCCCCCTGCAGGGCCCCATAGACTTCCGAGCCCCTTAATTGGTTCTCGAACGCCCGATCCGTTGTTTGCTTCCCAGCGGCCTGCAGGGTGGCCGTCTCGGGCTCTGCGTACCATCGGATCATCGGCGCTGCTCTGCTCTGCTCTGGTCTTCCTCCTCCTCCGCGGCGCACCCCGAGGAGATCTCCGCTGGAGGCCGCCGTGGCCGCCGTGGCCTCGCGGGAGCGGGCCGCGCCCGAGGCGCGGCCAGAGCGCGGCGGCCAGGCCGAGGAGCAGGAGCGGGAGCGCAAGCGCCGGAGGCAGGAGCAGGAGCTCGCCGCGGAGGCCTCGTGGGCAAGGACGGCCACGGCGACGACGGCCAAGGCGACGACGACGAGGAGGACGAGGAGGAGGAGGAGGAGGACGAGGCTGACGACGACGAGGACGACGACGACGCCGACGACGACGTCGGCGACGAGGACGAGGACGGGGACGATGACGACGACGGGTGCAAGCGCCGGAGGCGGGAACAAGAGCTCGCCGCAGAGGCCTAGGGGGCAACGACGGCCACGACGACGACGGCCACGACGCCGACGACGACGCCGACGACGGCGATAGCGAAGAGGAGGACGACCAGGAGGAGGAGGACGACGACGACAACGACGACGAGGAAGAGGACGAGGACGATGACGCGCGCAAGCGCCAGAGGTGGGAACAGGAGCTTGCCGCGGAGGCCTCGGGGGCGAGGACGGCCACGACGACGACGACCAAGGCGACGAGGACCACGAGGACGAGGACGACGATGACGAGGACGACGATGACGACGACGATGCCGACGACGACGTCGGCGACGAGGACGAGGACGAGGACGATGACGACGACGGGTGCAAGCGCCGGAGGCGGGAGTAAGAGCTCGCCGCAGACGCCTCGGGGGCAACGACGGCCAATACGACGACGGCCAAAACTGCGACGACGACCACGCCGACGACGACGATAGCGACGAGGAGGACGACGAGGAGGAGGAGAGGAGGGCGACGACGACGACGACGACGAGTTGGAGGACGAGGACGACGACGCGCGCAAGCGCCAGAGGCGGGAACAGAAGCTTGCCGCGGAGGCCTCGTGGGCAAGGACAGCCACGACGACGACGGCCAAGGCGACGATGACGAGGACGACGAGGACGAGGACGAGACGACGTCGACGACGACGACGAGGAGGACGACGACGAGGACGAGCGACGACAAGGACGAGGGACGACGACGGGTACAGGCGCCTGAGGGTGGCGCAGGAGCTCGCCGCAGAGGACTGGGGGGCAACGACGGCCACGACGACGACGGCCACGGCGACTATGACGAGGAAGACGAGGACGACGATGACGAGGACGACGAGGCTGACGACGACGACGACGACGACGAGGACGCCGCCGCCGACGACGACGACGAGGAAGAGGACGAGGGTGATGACGACGGGTGCAAGCGCCGGAGGCGGGAGCAGGAGGTCGCCGCAGGGGCCTAGGGGGCAACGACGGCCACGACGACGACGGCCACGACTATGACGAGGAGGACGACGACGACGACGACGACGACGACGACGATAGCGACAAGGAAGACGACGAGTTGGAGGACGATGACGACGACGACGACGACGACGACGACGAGAAAGAGGACGAGGACGACGACGCGCGCAAGCGCCAGAGGCGGGAACCGGAGCTTGCCGCAGAGGCCTCGTTGGCAACGACGGCCACGACGACGACGTTCAATGCGAGGATGGCGAGGGCGACGAGGACGAGGTGGACCACGGGCGCAAGCATCAGAGGCCAGAGCAGGAGCTTGCCGCGGGGGCAACGACGGCCACGACGACGACGGCCAAGACGGCGACGACGACGACGAGAATTACGACGACGACAACGACGACGAGGACGAGGACGTCGACGACGACGACGACGAACGGCGCAAGCGCCAAAGGCGGGGACAGGAGCATGCCGCGGAGGCCTTGGGGGCAACAACGGTCACGACGACGATGACGGCCAAGGTGACGGCGACGACGACGACGACGACGACGACGACGACCAAACAGACGGGGTCGACGACGAGGACGACGACGAGGGACGACGACGTCGACGAGGACGACGACGACGGGCGCAAACACTACAGGAAGGAGCAGAAGCTTTCCGCCAAGGCCTCGAGGGCAACGTTGTGGAGGAGTATGAGGAGAAAGGGGAGGAGAAAGGAGGATGAGGAGTTCTGGAGTTCTGGGTGTGGCGATCAGGTCGGGGAAACAAAACTTAAACGCCCGATTTCTGCTTCTTGGCGAGCTCAGCTTTGCTGAAAGCTTTCGGCCAGAGACCCTTGGAAATACGAGCCCCTCGGGGCCCCATCCTTGCATCGCCAAGGGATCGAGGTGTTCGGTTTCCAGGCGCCTTCGTGCGTTCTCGGTGGTTTCTCTTTCTCGGGGTGCCCTCCAGCGGCTGCGCCTCTCCGAGAGCGTTCCGGGGGCGCCCCGATCGTCCCCAACGGCCGCCAGAGAGCCGAGTTCTGGCCCGAAAGCCAGGGGCACCCTTCGAGCGGGAGAGGCTTTGGGGGGAACGCATCGGTCCCAATCGCCGATGGGAGCCCGATGGCCCCATCTTGCCCAGAAGCGTGAGGATTACTATCTGGGACCTGTCGTCGATCAATTGGCGAAACATCACCGATTCAAGCTCGATGTTTCCCCTCTTGAGCTGTCCCCCCCTATCTTCGGATGCAGCTTCTGGTAGGTTTAATTCAGCATCGGCGCTGGCATGTCCGAGGACGAAGGCCGGACTAATCAGACAGAATCCCGTCGAATTCGGCCTGATGCCGCTCAATCCATTTCAATGTGGCATTTCAATGTGGCTGAATCGGGGCCAACCCGACTCAGCAGCCTTGCGTCCCAGAAGCTGCCACCTGGCCGAATCGCTGCCCCGTCGAGGCCGCGGAGCGCGAGCGGGTCCGCAAGCTGGAGGAGCTGCGCAGGTGGCGCGAGGGGGAGGCGGAGCGCGAGCGCGAGGCCGCCCGGGAGAGAGAGCGGCAGGCCGAGGAGCCGTGCCTCCGAGATGGGGGCCAGAGCAGACGGGGGTCGGAGGATCGCGCCGCGTCGGCGACGCCTCGGCGGTGCTCGTCGGTGCTCGGCGGTGTTCTGGCCTCGGGACGCTCTCCAGCACCTGCGCCTCGCCCCTCGGGGCCCCATCCTTGCATCGCCAAGGGATCGAGGTGTTCGGTTTCCCGGCGCCTTCGTGCGTCCTCGGCGGCTTCTCCTTCTCGGGGTGCCCTCCAGCGGCTGCGCCTCGCCGAGAGCGTTCCGGGGGTGCCCCGATCGTCCCCAACGGCCGCCAGAGAGCCGAGTTCTGGCCCGACAATTGGCGCCAGGCGCAGAGGGGGGTGAGGGGAGGGGGGAAGGCTTCTTGGAGGCACCCCTGCTTCTCAGAAGGCGCGGGCCTTATCCATGGATGTAGAGCGAGCGTCTTCCAAGAAGCAGCCTCCTTCTAAGAAGCCTTCCCCCTCCCCCATCCCCCCTTGTGCGCGCCGCCAACGTCGGCGACGCGGCTCGATGTGGAGGCCGGTTCTCTCCGCGCCGACGTCGCCGATGCTGCGCCGGCAGCGCCGCTGCGCTGCCCACGACTCGGTGGTGCATCCGTGCCGATCTCCGCCGCTGCTGCGATCCCCTGGCGATGCAAGGAGGATGTAGGGCCCCGGGGGGGGGGGGGCGCAGGTGCCGGGGAGCGCAGAGAGCCGCCGAGAGCCGACGAGCACCGCCGAGGCGCCGCCGAGGCGGCGCGAGCCTCCGACCCGGGCTGCTCCGGCCTCCCCAGCTGGGAGGCCCCTGCGCGAGGAGGCGCGGCGGCTGGCGGAGGAGCAGGCCCGGAGGGCGGAGGAGCGGAGGCGCCGGCGGGAGGCGCGGGGCCGCCCGCGGGAGGCGTCGAAGAGCAGCGCGGGGGTCGGAGGAGGCGGGGCCGCGTCGCCGAGGCTGCAGCGACGCGGCCCGATGTGGAGCCCGGCGTCCCCTGGTCATCCTCCTCTCTTCCTCCTCCGTCCTCCTCGTGCTCCCTCCTCCTCCTCCTCCTCCTCCTCCTCCTCCGTGTCCTCCTCCTCCTCCTCCTCCTCCGTGTCATCCTCCCAACGTCGCCGATGCATCGCCGTTGCATGGCCGATGCATCGTGGGTGCGACGCGCTCCTGCGACCCCCACCTGCTGGGACCCCCATGTTGGGAGGCCTCCGCAGAGGCGCGGGAGCTGGAGGCCCAGGAACAGCTGCGGGAGGAGGAGGAGTGCGACTAGGGGAAAAATGCGCGCACACACACACAGTCACACACACACACACAGTCACACACACACACAGTCACACACACACACAGTCACACACACACACACAGTCACACACACACACACACACGCACACGCACACGCACACGCACACGCACACGCACACACAGTCACACACACACACGCACACACACACACGAACTGCCCGAGATCCGTGCGGATTTCCTGAATCTGCGCTGGGGCCCCCTGGCGGCGCCCCCTGCGTCGCCCTCGGCGCGCTCCTCGCGCTAGGGCGGGCGAGAGGCCCAGCGCCGAGTCCACGCAGAAGTCCGCGCGGAGCTCCGACGGTCTACAGCCAAGGTGCCGAACTCAGGGCGCAGTGGGCTCGGGTTCCCGGGCCGTTCCTTCGACTCGTGCCGCGGAACTCGTTCGTGGCCCCGGCCCGCCGCCGCCGGAGAAGACCCCTCGTTCCTGGTGGTGCGTTCCCTGCGGTAGCGCGATGACTGTGTTTCAGAGCGTGAATTACCTACCCCGCTTTCGCTTCCAGGCAAAACCAAGTCATACCACGCGCCTCCTCGTCAAGCGGCCTGACCGGTACAGGCTGTAGTTTGGCATCGTTTGGTATCTCTTGGAAGCGAGGGTGGTCAAAAGCGAGGTAGGTTTGTTTTCCCCCAAGTGTTTGTGTGCCGTGTTCTGTTCCCGTGAGGAGTGGGCGAGGTTCAAGGAGCAGGCGCGCCGGGCGGAGGCGGAGCAGCCGCTGCCCGCGTGGGCCGCGCTCGGCGCGCGCTGCGCGTGGGCGTCCCCGACGCTGCAGAGGCAGCTCGCGGTGACCATCACCGGGGTGGACCAGGCGAAGGTCGCCGGCCGCTCGCAGAAGGGGGTCCCGGGGAGGGGGGGGGCTTCTGAGAAGCACCCCCGCTTCTTAGATCGACTAGACGTAAGAGTGACCTTTCGCCGGAGTGACCTTTGGTGTGGGCACAGGTGGGTCCCCAGATGGCTGAAAACGAAGCAGGAGCAGCGGCTTTCGCGCCCGGGTTTGGTCCCCCGCGGCCCCCAAAAAGCCGCGCACCAAAGGTCACTCTTACCCAGGGTCACTCTTGCGTGTAGCCGATAGAAGGAGCGGGCCTTGTCTGCAACTAGATGTAAGGCCGGCGCCTTCTAAGAAGCAGCCTCCTAAGAAGCCTCCCCCCCTCTCCCTGCCCCTCTCGACACGCAGTCACGGTCGGGCCGGACCAAACGGGGGCTTGGGAAATGGCCCAGATCTCCAACGATACGATTTTTCGATGCGGGCGTTTTTTCTCGATTTCGGCCTCTGGGGTCCATCGGTTCCACGTCAAGAGTGGCCATTCGCCAGAGTGACCTTTGCTTCGGCACTGGTCCTCCGAGCACTGGCCCGCGCGTAGATCTGGCCACCCCGCGTCCCCGAACGCCGCGCGCCAAAGGCTACTCCTGCCCAGGAGTCCATCCATGGGCCCTGAGGCCACACACAATGCATCCAGGACGAAAAACCATTACCCCCAGGGGAAGGGGTCCGGACCACCAGGGCCGCGCACATCGGAACTCGTCGAATCTGGGCAGGGTGGCGAAGAAATCTGCCCCTGTGCAGCCCGTTTCGCCTCCGGCGCTGGGTGCTTTACTCGCTACAGTCGGGGCGCTGAAGAAAGAACCTTTTTCATTGGGGAGGGGCTCCGTGTTCCTTAATTGTTTCGCAGTTTGCCTTAGGTTTTCCTTAACTAGGTTCTCGATATGAAATCGAGGTTTAACTTATGGCAAATAGGGGCCTCGTTCCTCATTTAGGGTTCTTTAGGTCAACGCCCTGACTGTACGGCTGCTGCCTCCAGCGCGGGGGGAGGTCGGGGGGCCCCCGAGCAGTGCGGTGGCCACACCGCGCGGCGAGCCGATCGGGCTTCGAGGTGGTCGCATGGTCACCGTCCTGGGACGCGGGTCGTTCTCCGAGGATGTCTCGGGCGATTGTCGGGCCGGGCGAAAGGGGGGGATTGGGAAAGGGGGGGGTACGAAATTTGCTGCATGCAGCTGGTTTCGGCCTCACCGAGGGGCCCATTCCTCGATACATAGCCGCCTCCGGCTCCGGGAGGCGCCAGGAAAATCAGCTACGTGAGCTGATTCTCAAACCCCCCTTTGCTATCCCTCCCTTTCGCCCGACCCGAGATTGGGGCTTCCAGGGTCCCAGAATTCGAGGGCATAAAAGACGCCCCTACCCTGGTTTACGAGGCGCTGTGCGCTGAAGCTCCTGTGGGCTGACAGGGTGAACCCTGCGTGGTGTGCCGCGTCCTGGCGGCTCTAGGCTCTGGGGGCCCCCAGGAGGTTTGCACACCACGCACTTGCAACCCAGGGTAGGGCCGTTTTTTCGTCCCTCAAAGAGTGGTGCGGCGAGGGGCCGTGCGGGAAGCTCCTGGGGGATTTCGAGGGCCCTGCACGCTGTGCGTCACCGCACCGCGTCGCGGGGCCAACCAGGGGAGGGGGGCGGTGCGGACACCTGGCCCGTGCGGCCGGTTCCGCCTCCGCCGCGGGGCGCTCCCTCGATGCAGGGCACAGTTGGCGCCGCGGGTGGCAGGGGGCGCTGGGGAAGCAGTCTGCGTGAGCTGATTTTTCACCCCCCCGATGATGAGGAGGGGGAGGAGGAGGAGGAGGAGGAGGAGGAGGAGGAGGAGGAGGAGGAGGAGGAGGAGGAGGAGGAGGAGGAGGAGGAGGAGGAGAGGAGGAGGAGGGAGGCGAGGGAGGAGGAGGAGGAGGAGAGGAGGGGAGGGGGAGGAGGAGGAGAAGGAGGAGGAAGAGGGAGGAGGAGGAGGAGCAGGAGCAGGAGCAGTAGGAGGAGGAGGAGGAGGAGGAGGAGCAGGAGCAGGAGCAGGAGCAGTAGGATGATGATGATGATGAGGAGGAGGAGGCGGACCAGTGTAAACCCAATCATCATCAATGAAGTTGGAATACACCCTCCCTCCAAGCTCCATCTTCATAGATCCCATTCCCACAGAGGGACGTGCCTCGTTGGAAGACAACCGTTTAACGACCCTGAATCATGCTAACACATTATACTCGGTATTCCAACGCCACGGATAAACCTGACTTTTGCGTCTTGACGATCTTGAATGGTCCCAGCGCGTCATTCCTGGGACTGCAACACCGCGAACCATCGCAACTGTTGCGCCCTCATAATCGTGAATCCTTCCAAAACACAATTTCTGGTACGTCGATCATGGGAGTCCGTGAAACTCATTGCAATGTTGTAACAAGAATGTGCGCGGCGCGAAGGTTGGAGCCACAAATTGAAAGCCGCCCTCAATTCGTGCAACTCTTGCACATGTTTGAAACGAATGCGCGCGGCGCTAAGGCGAGAGCCACATTTTGAAAGAGAAACACCTTAGAGATAATCAGTCATGATTCCCTCTCGAGGCCCTCGCTCTTGGCGCTGTATCGGGGCGCCTCGAAGGCCTCGTGGGCCGGCTTGAAGCCATCTTGGGCCGTCCTGAGAGCAAAGCGGCTCGGCCCGGAGCGAGATGTGGCCGTCCTGGAGGCACCTGGGCCCCCGGGAGCGCCATGCCGTCGTAGCTCTGCAGAGGGCCGCGGTGGATGCGGTGCATGCGCCTGGGCGCGTCCCGTGAGGAGCGGGGGAGGAGCTTGGAAGCATCCACGGCAACCATCACAGGACAGCACCTGGCGTTCTCGCACGCGCCAGCGCGCCAGGGGGGCGCAGTGGCGGGTCGTCGGAGATCTGGGCTCTCTGCCGGAGGAGGAGGAGGAGGAGGATGAGGAGGAGGAGGAGGAGGAGGAAGAGGAGGAGGAGGAGGAGGCAGGAGGAGGAGGAGGAGGAGGAGGAGGAGGAGGAGGAGGAGGAGGAAGGATGAGGAGGAGGAGAGGAGGCGGAGGAAGGAGGAGAGGGGGAAAGGGGGAGGGAGGAGGATGAGGAAGGAGAGGAGGGAGGAGGAGGAGGAGGAGGAGGAGGAGGCAGGAGGAGGGAGAGGAGGAGGAGAGGAGGAGGAGGAGGAGGACGAGGAGGAGGAGGAGGAGGAGGGAGGAGAAAGGAGGAGGAGGAAGGAGAAGGAGGAGGAGGAGGAGGAGGAGGAAGAAGGAGGAGGAGGAGGAGGAGGAAGGAGGAGAGGAGCGGGAGAAAGGAGCAGAGGAGGAGGAAGAAGGAGGAGGGAGGAGGGAGGAGGAGGAGGAGGAGGGGGGAGGAGGAGACAGAAACCACGGCCGCCGAGAGCCCGTCGGGGCCGCGACCCACCCCTGGCCAGCGGCACACCGGCGCCTCCAGGCGTTCCACTACCCAGAGTTGCCCTCTCCTCCTCGGGGGCAACGATAGGGGGGGATAGGCATAAGGAGGGATGCATCGACCCCCAATCGTTCATTGATCGCCGATAGGGGCCCCGATAGCCCCAACCTGCCCAGAATGGTGCGGACTCGCTATCGGAGGCATATCGCCGATCTATCAGCGATGCATCGCCGATTCCAGGTCGATGCATCCCCCCTCTGCCATTCCCCCCCTATCGTTGCCCCTCACCTCCCCCGCGATGGGTTCTCGTTGGCGGCAGGCGCTGTTCCTCGTTGGCGGCGGTGTCGATGGGTTCTCGATGGGTTCTCGTTGGCTGCGGCGATGAGTTCTCGTTAGCGGCGGTCCTCCTCGGACTCGCTGCCTCCACTCTCTATTAGAAGTCAGCACCCCTTCTCCTGGAGTAGTTTTGCGCTTTGGGTCCAGTTCTCATGGCCCTGGGGCCATGGTGACGGTCTCCAGAAGCCGAACTAGAACAACGCCTTGATCGAACACCTTCTATCGTCAGAGATCTGGGCTCATTCCCCCCCCAATTCAGAGGAGAGTCAGTCTACCAGATCTCTGCTCCTCCTTGGACCCCTCCCATGCATCCGCCTGTGGGGTTGCGAAGGCCTCACGGCCGGTGCCGCGGGCCCCAAGGCGGGACCTCCCTTGGGCCCTCCGCTAAAGCGAGCCTTCGCCAGGCCCACGGGGACCCCAGGCGGGCGGCCTTCTGACGAGGGACCTCCCCCTGCCCCCCCTGGCAGCGAAGGGATACAGTGAAGGGCTTCCTTTAATAACTCCGACGTTCAAGTAGTGGCGAAGCGTCCTGATTCGCCTATAGGCCCACCAAAGACTGTTCTAAGAACCGATTGTGGTCTGCGCGAAATGTCCTCAGAACATTTCTGGCTGGGACTGTTTTGTTTTTCGCATCGGTTTATGTTCTAAGAATATGTTCAGTTCTTGGAACATTTCTGGGTTCTAAGAACATTTCGTGGTTATAGGAATGCCGGGGCGGTCGGTCCCTGCCCACGTGAAGGGCTTCTTTGAATAACTACGACGTTGCTTTCCTTGTTCCTCGACTTCCGTAGGACTGACGACGACAGCGACGATGACGACGACAGCCTCCTCCCCGGCGCCTCCCGGCGCCGGGAAAATCAGCTATGTTCGGGAGCCTGGAGACGGGGGTCAGTGCAAACGGGGGTCAGCCAGAGCGCCGGAGCCTGCAGGATCCTGCGAAGACCCCCTCTGGCTGACCTGGGTTAGCGAGCCGCTCGTGGCCGCGAGGCGGCCGCGCCTATTGGCTGACCAGGGTTTGCGAAGACCTGCGTTGCAGTTTTTTGTTTTCCTGCATTGCTGTTTTTGGTTTCCTGCTGACCCGGGTTTGGATTGACCCTGGTCAGAAGATCCCTGATATGTGAGCTGATTCTCAAGCCCCCCCTTTGCCATTCCCCCCCCCCTTTCGCCCGGCTCGATGTTCGAGCCGGATCGATCCGTGAGGCTCCCGGGGCCCGAAGACCTGCAGCATCGTCCGTTGTGAAAACTATATGGCGGCGCCGGGATCGCAGGTTACGTTGCATCTTCGGGGGGCCTCGCCTGTCCCCAAAATTGGTGTCTTTTTTTGTACCCGCCGCGGGCTCGGTGCGGACTCGGCGCGGATTTGACGTGAATCCGACGCGGATTCGACACGGTTTCGACACGGATCCGAGGAGTGCGACACGGATTCGACACGGATTCGACGCGGACAGGGCCGCGACGGGACAGACAAGGTCCCTCGAGGCTGCAACATAACGCAGGGGGGGCTCAGGGAGCAGCGCGCGCCCACAGGGGAAGCATCATGCCGTCGGGGATGCGGTCCCACGTGCCCCCTTCCCTTTTTGATGGGCAGATTCTCCACCACCACTACCATGTGGAACGGGGGTGAAGGGAGGATGAGGAGACCCTTCTCATCCTCCTCCTCCTCATCCTTCTCCTCCTCCTCCTCCTCCTCCTCCTCCTCCTCCTCCTCCTCCTCCTTCACTACCTCTGGTTTTGGTGGTGGGCAATGGACCCATCACTTTTTCGCCCGACCCGAGCAGGGCATCGTGACGGTGACGTTCGACTCCGACCCGAATGCCTTCAAGGCTTGGCGGCGCCCATAACGTCGGGTGTTGCTCATAAGTGCCCCTGGCTTTAGCAAGCCCAGCGTTCGCTAAGGATAGGTTTCCCCCCCATAAGCGACGAACACCCTTCCAAAACCTTCCTGGAATCCTCTGAAAAGCCTCCCGGAACCTTTCCTCGCATCTCGAACGTTGGCACCGCGCCATTTGGGCTTGGTTGTTTTGGCAAAATAAGCCTGGCCAGGGACCCAACCATGTGCAGTTGTGAGTGCAGTAGTTGTGAGTATCGTCTTCGGTGGAGCCCCTGGTGGAGCCACCTCTGGGGCCAAGAACCGTCTGAATCGTGCGCCGAACTGGTGTGGAGGACATTCATGGGGCCACGGAGCGTGTGAAGGGTGCACCGAAATGGTGGGAGAAGGCGTGCCAGCGCAACAATTGGGGCCTTAGTTGCAGCTCCCTATGGGCCGACGAAACGCTGCCCAGGGTGTGCGCCGAAGTGGTGTGGAGGAGAATGCACACTAAGGCCTTAGGTGGAATTCTTCACGCTTCGCGTATCCCCACCAGCCCATCTCAAAACAGCAACTCTTGCGAAACATGAGGCCTCGTGGTGCCTCCTGGGGACCTCTTGTGGGCCATCTGGGGAACTCTAGGGGCCATCTGGTGGACCTCTGGGGGCCATCGTGGGGGGCTTGTATGAGCGCTGCCCGTCATCCTGGTGTGACTCGTTCGGGCTCCTCGTGGTGTGAGTCGTTCGAGGCCCGCGTCGTGGTGTGAGTCGTTCGGGCTCCTCATGGTGTGAGTCGTTCGGGCGGCTCGTCCTGGTGTGAGTCGTTCGGGCCCCTCCTTGTGGTGTGAGTCGTTCGGGCTCTTCGTGGTGTGAGTCGTTCGGGCCCCTCGTCCTGGTGTGAGTCGTTCGGGCTCCTCGTGGGGCCTCTGGGGGCCTCTTGGAGCCTCTTGGGGCCTCTTGGGGGCCTCTTGGGGGCCTCTTGGGGGCCTCTTGGGGGCCTCTTGGGGCCTCTTGGGGCCTCTTCGGGGCCTCTTGGGGGCCTCTTGGGGGCCTCTTGGGGCCTCTTGGGGGCCTCTTGGGGGCCTCTTGGAGGCCTCTTGGGAGCCTCCTGGGGGCCTCTTGGGGCTATCTTGGGGTCTCTGGCGATCTCATCAGAAGCGCTAATAAGCGCTGACCCCTGAGAAGGACAAAATCAGCCCAAAACCTTCGTAAAATCAATGATTTTGCTAAGAAGGACGAGGAACGCGGCGCCCTCAGAAGGCCAAAATGGGGCCAAAACCGTAGTAAAATCAATGTGTTTTACTTCAACGACGAGTTCAGGAACCAAACTCCCTCCCCCCCCCCTCGGGGCCAGAATCCTCGTGAGGGTCGTCGTTTTTTGGCCCTCCCAGGAGTCGAAAAAGACTCCTCCAACGACCCGCGGGGCGCCCTCTCCAGGTCCAGGGGGAGGGGGTAGGGGGAGGGGTAAACCCTTCCCCGAAGGGGAAGAAGGGGGGTTGAGGACAGAGAGAGCTCTCTAAACCACTCACGCCCAAAGGGCTGGTGTGGAGGAGAATGCACACTAAGGCCTTAGGTGGAATTCCCTATGGGGTCCCGAAGCGTGGTCAGGGTGCGCCGAAGTGGTGTCGAGAAGGCGTGCGGCCCTTGGTGCGGGGGTCTGCGGTGGAGCTCCTTGTGGGGCGACGAAGCGAGCGCGGGGTGCGCCGAAGCAGAGACGGGGGCAGGGCATAGGCAGGGCTGGGAGCGCGGAGGCAGGGGCGGAGGCGCGGGGCGCTGCCTCCTTGGAGCCAGGACCCGAACACCTGGCATCGCTCGGACGTGTGCATTTTTTTTTCTCGGCGGGGACCATCGCGGAGCATCCTTGATCATGTGGCGAAAAAGCCACGCACGAAGCCGAAAGAAACACAGGGAATGGACGTCCGAGCGATGGCGAGAACACTGCAGGATGGTTGGGGACGACCGCCCTGGCGTGCCCAGGGCCATCCGACCCCCCCCCCCCCCCCTCGCCTCCGTAGGAGTCGGCCACGCGCAGAGAGAGTTGCTTGGAAGCACCCCTGCTTCTTAGAAGTTTTGGGGGGGGTATATATAGACGTAAGGCCAGCGCCAGCAGCCTCCTCCTAAGAAGCCAGCCCTCCCCCCTCCCTCCACCCCTCTGTGCGCGCCGCCAAAGAGGGCCGCCCCCCCCCCTTAGTCATTCTTCGGAGCGGCAGGGCAGTTGTTTTACCGCGTCCATCTCCAGGATTGAAGCCGGAGCCAGAGCCCAGAACGAAGATATGAAGGGGACCGGAAAACAAGATGGCGCCCCAGATTTGTCGGAGGCTGATCGACTTCCTACCCTGACACGTCGATTAGCGAATTGGCCGTTTTCGGTTCGCGAGAGGGCGTCGCGGCCGTCATTTTTGCAGGTCCAGGTCCATCGGTTTCGGTCCTAGGCCGTTTTCACTAAAGGTTCGTTTACGAAAGGGAGGCTTGTCCACCGCCGAAATATGAACGGAGCTGGAAACAGGATGGCGCCCCAGATTTGGGGCAGCAACTGGTAAAATGCAGACGGGCAACAGAATCAGGGGCGGCCTGACCGATCCCTAGCAAATCATCCCGTTCCGTGACGTCCCCCTTGCCTCGCCTCGAGACGTATGCATGCGGACGGAGGGAAGTTTGAAAGGCGAGGACGGCATCACGGAGCAGGATGGTTTGCGAGGCGTCTGCTATCGACTACACGTAAGAGTGATGTTTCGCCAGAGTGCCTTTTGGCGCGGGCCCATTGGGGTCTTCCGATCGCCGAGCGCGATGCGATTTTTAGCGTCTTGCGCGCTCACGGTTGATCTCCGCGCGGCCCCCCAAAAGCCACGCACCAAAGGTCACTCTTACCCCGGGTCACTCTTGCGTGTAGCGATGTTGGGCCGCGCCCGACGCAAACACACACACACACACACACACACACACACACACACACACACACACACACACACACACACACACACACACACACACACACACACACACACACACACACACACACAACACACACACACACACACAACACACACCACACACACACACACACACACACACACACACACACACACACACGCGCACACGCACACGCACGCGCACGGCGCACGCGCACGCGCGCGCGCACAACGCACACGCACACGCACACGCCACGCACACGCACACGCACACGCACACGCGCACGCGCACGCTCACGCGCACGCGCACGCGCACGCGCCCGCGCCCGCGCCCGCGTCCCGCGCCACGCACGCCCGCGCCACGCACACGCACACGCACACGCACACACGCACACGCACACGCACACGCACACGCACACGCACACGCACACACGCACACGCACACGCACACGCGCACAGCGCACGCGCACGCGCACGCGCACGCGCACGCGCACGCGCACGCGCACGCGCACGCGCACGCGCACGCGCACGCGCCGCGCACGCGCACGCGCACGCGCACGCGCACGCGCACGCGCACGCGCACGCGCACGACACGCAGCGCACACGCAGACACGCAGACACGCAGACACGCAGACACGCAGACACACGCAGACACGCAGACACGCAGACACGCAGACACGCAGACACGCAGACACGCAGAGACACACGCAGACACGCAGACACGCAGACACGCAGACACGCAGACACGCAGACACGTCCCTGTCGCCTCGAACAGCCACTATCCAGAGGCGCTGCTGCGCGATTCCGCCACCGCGCTCGGGCGGGCGGCGCCAGGGGGGGGAGAGGGCGGGGGCGGGGCGGGCGCGGGGGGGGAGGGGTCCACTGCACGTCCCTCCCCCGACCTTGTATTTGGGTACTCCAGATTTCGTAATTGAAGGGAGGGGGTCTGGACCCTCCAAGACAAGCCATTTCAGACCTCCCCCGTGTGAGAACCCTCCACAACATCGTCCCCAGACCCCCCAGGCCCTCCAAGATAGCCTGGAAGAGAACCCCCCCCCGAAATGAGACCCCCCTCCATGTATTACGAAATCTGGAGTACAGGTTCTGCCCGGGAGGCCACAAAGCGTCGGCACTTGCCCATACAAAGGAACGCGCCTTTGGCACGGTGCGTCGTGGGGGCCCAGTTCTGTTGCCTCGCAGAGACTGAGGCGGACCTGGCGCACGCCTGCAGTCGGGTTTGATTAGTAGGTCGACCCTGCCCAAATAAGGGTACCCTTGTGTCCTGTGTTTCGCGACCCATGCCCTTTACGTTCCACTGGCAATATGGCCATCGGAAGGGTCTTGTGTCCTCCCGCGTGTCCTCTCCAATCCTCCCCGACTTTACCGCTGCAAGCGTGGTGGCGCATATATATAAGCGCCCTCCTCGCGCCACCTTGCGGGTGCCGCCCTCGCGCGAAAGAGGTGCTGCAGGCCGCGCAGCTCACCGACGACGGGCCCCTGCGGCCGAGAAGATGACGGCCCGCGGCACGGGCCGGCGGCCAGCGCGGCCGGGGCATCGGCCTGCGGCGGCATCAACGGTCACGAAGGGCAAACATCGGGGGCGGACAGAACCCCCAACAGTGACACGTCGATTAGTGAATTGTCCGTTTTCGGTTCTCGAGAGGGCGCCGCGGACAATATTTTCCAGGCTTGCGCCAGCCAGGTTTGGGCCTCAGGTCGTTTTCACTAAATCACGTTCTACTAAAGGGAGGTCTGTCCATCCCTGAAAAAAGACCCCCTAACCCTGATCAGGTGGTGAAGACGTGGCCCCACTTGGGGCCCCTTCTTCCTCGTCAGGGCTAAGCATGTTATGGGCGGGTTGGCCTTACACATCTGCAGGAACAAAAGTAAAAGAACCCTGACTGGGGTCCCCTCCCAAAGGGTTAGGGTTGCTGTTCTGTCTTATCAGACGACGCGGTGCCGTCCGGCCAGCGCGTGCCGCGCCCTCCGGCCAAGAGCTGGGTGCTGGCTGTGGGGGGGGCGGCCAAGATGGGGACGACAACGGTGTTCTTTCGTCGTCGAAGGGGGGGGGGTCGTCAGCAAATCATGGGAGCCATGCGTGTCCTCACAGTTGCTGTTCTAGGGAGCACTAGCGTGCGCCAGCGTGCTGGCGTGCGCTGGCGCCGATCCAGCGTCGATCCAGCGTCGCGCAAGGTCGATGTAGCAACGATTGGCGTTGCTTCGCGTCGGCTGGCGTCCGTTCGCAAGGGCCAGCAAGACTGCCTGGGAGGCCCCCGCAAGTTGCTACCGAGGGGAGGGAGGGAAGGACGTTCTCGCTGGTCTCTGGAGGCCTTCCGCCTCGGGGTGCTCTCCTGCAGCTGCGCCCCGTCGCGGGAGCTTCTTCTGGGGGTGCGCGGGCTTCTTCCCGAGCGGCCGCCCGAGGCCCGAGGGGTTCCGACCCGCAAGAGCACCGTGCGTCGAAGAGGGGGGTGGTGACCAGGCGGGTGGAGCTCGTGACCGGGGCCATGCTGATCACCCCGGATATCCTGGCACCCTCTTCTTCTTCTTCTTCTTCTTCTTCTTTTTTTTCCTCTTCTTCTTCCTCTTCTTCTTCTTCCTACCTAGGCTCTGCCTAGAAGGGTTCTTACTCTCTTAGCTTAAAGGGGCCGGGCAGTGGAACACGCCCCGGGCGGTTCCCCCAGTCCCCTGGGAGCGGTTCCCCCCAGTCCCCTGGGAGCTTTAGCTTTATCTTTAGCTTTAGCTTTGGCTTAGCTTTAGCTTAGCTGTAGCTTAGCTTTAGCTTAGCGTTTCGCTTAGCTTTTCGTTTAGCGTTTAGCTTAGTTTTAGCTTAGCTTTAGCTCTAGCTTAGCTGTAGCTTAGCTTGAGCTTAGCTGTTGCTCAGCTTTAGCTCAGCTTTAGCTTAGCTTTAGCCTAGCTCTAGCTTAGCTTTAGCTTAGCTTTAGCTTAGCTTTAGCTTAGCTTTAGCTTAGCTTAGCTGTGGCTTGGCTTTAGCTTAGCTTTAGCTTAGCTTAAGCTTAGCTTTAGCTTAGCGTTACTGTTACTACTAATGCTGCTTTCCTAGGGGTTCCAACTCCTAGGTAGGGTCGCACTGGGATAATTCTGTTTTTCCTTCTGTTGCTTCTTCTTCGCAGCAGCCTTCTCGCAAGGCGTCCCGCGGTCCACTCCCAGGCCGCGATCTGCGAGCCCCCCTCCTGGGCGCCCCCGTGCCGGACAGCCCCTGGTGTGCCGGACGCCCCCGCGTGCCGCGAGGGGCGGCGCCCGCCGCGGAGGAGCGGGGGCCCGGAGGGAGGCGGGCCGGCTCTGTGGGCCTCCTCGGGTGGGGCTCGAGCAGGTGCGGGCGTTGCCAGGGGTGCCCCTGGTCCCCAAGGCTCGGAGGTAGAGAGATCTCCTACCCTGACACGTCGATTAAGGAATTGGCCGTTCTCGGTTCGCGAGAGGGCGTCGCGGCCGTCATTTTTGCGGGTTCAGGTCCTTCGATTTCGGCCCAAGGTCGTTCTTCTGAAGGGGAAGTTTACTAAAGGGAGGTTTGTCCACCGCCGAGAGGGGGGTGATGACTAGGGGGGGTGGATATCATGGCGGGGGCCATGATATTTCCCCAGATTTCATGGCGCCTCTTCTTGTTTCATTGCGTCCCTGGCCCCCCCGCGGGGCCGCGCACATGCCGCCGGTCATGATTTGCGCCCTCCCCTCTTGGACACCCCCCTCCTTGCCGCCCCCGATCGGGTGGGGTTCGAGCAGGTTCGGGTGCTGGCACTGCCAGGAGAGTGCCCCTGGTCCCCAAGGCGGCCCCAGGATTTCCAAGGAGGCCCGCACGGCCTCAGGAGCACCCCCTCACGAGGCCCAGAGGGCCCCGGGGGCTGCCGAGTCGAGCGAACAGCTGGGGGCACCTCGGGCCAGGGGCACTTCTGGCAACATCCGATGGATGGGGTCGGGGGATCGAGCCGCATCGCCGATGCATCGCCGACGCGGGTCGATGTGGAGCCACATTTGCTTCACGTCGACGTCGTCGATGCATCGCCCACGTCGACTGTGCATCGCCAGTGCATCGCCGATGCATCGCCGAGATATCGGCGGTACAGCGCGAGCCTCCGACCCCATCTTCTCCGACCCCATCCAGGAGGCCTCTACCATCAGAGGAGGAACAAGCAGTCGCTAGTGGCCTTTAGTTTTGGTCCCCCCCTTTTTCCCTCCTTGGTGAATATCGGACTGCTCCTACAACCGCCTCCTCCTTCTCCTCCTCCCTCCTCCTTCTCGCTGTTGTCGTTGTTGCGTGGCGGGTGCCGCGGAATAACACTGATCAGTTGCCCCCTATTGATGGGGTCCCAGTCCTTCAATAGGCCGCCCGAACAATAGGCAGTTACCCCCTTTTGGGGGGGTGTTCTAAAGACCTTTCAGGGTTCCCAAATCTCGGCCTTTGGGGACGTCAGCCATCGCCTGGCCTTCGGCACCGGAGGGCCATCGGCGGGCTTTTGGGGGACCCCCAGGGGAGGCCCTCGTCGCGGCTGGATTCGCGCCGAGACCCTGGTCAGAACGCCTTCCCGGGAGAGGTCCAGGGAGGCGGTGTGGGCAACCTGCTCCCCCACGAGTACTCCAGATTTCGTAATAAAAGGGAGGGGGTCTGGACCCTCCAAGACAAGCCATTTCAGACCCCCCCCGTGGGAGAACCCTCCAAAACATCGTCCCCAGACCCCCCCAGGCCCTCCAAGATAGCCTGGAAGAGACCCCCCCCGAAATGAGACCCCCCTCCCTTTATTACGAAATCTGGAGCAGAGGGGACGGTTTTTCAAACGTTTCTGGCCTCCCAGGACGCTCCACGGGCCCCTGGGCCGTCAGACAACCATCTGGGATGAGGGGCTGGTCCACGGGGGGGTGGCCCCGGAGTCCAGGAGCCGTTCCCTTCAGGACGTGTTTGCTTGATGCTGGCGGCACCAAGAAAGGGGTGGCGCGAGGGGGGCTTCGAAGAATGCAGAGAGGAGGGCTATACATATATATATATATATACATATATATACATATATATATATATATATATATATATATATGTATATATATATACAAATATACATATCCACCTGTATACGTACATATAAATACACACATATCGAAGACGCCTACGGCGAATCACCGCCGCCCCCTGCCTTTCTGGAAGCGCCTATGTGGCCGAACGTTGAGGCCAGACCTGCCAAGCTATCGGACCATGTGTTCCCCGAATCGGTTCGGAAAGCCTTCGGGGAACACGTGGGCATCTTGAAGGTCATCTTGGCCGTCTGGAGGCCATTTTGACCCTTTCGGGCCTTCTTGGAGGACGTCTTGGAGGGCTCTTGGGCCGTCTTGGAGGCCATCTTGAGCGTCTTGGAGACCTCTTGGGCCGTCTTGGGGGCCTCTTGGGGCCGTGTCTTGGGCCTCTTGGGCGATCTTTGGGGGCACTTGGGCCGTCTCGGGCCGTCGGAAGGCAGAACAAAAAGCAAAGCCCTTACCCTTTTCCCCCTCGCCCTGACGGACACTCCCCTCACGCCCGCCGTTTTGCCTTCACCTACTCCCCCTCCTTTTATTTCTCCTCCTCCTCCTCCTCCTCCTTTTCCACGTCCGCCTCCATCATCACCCCCTCCCTACCCCTTCCACGTCCTCGTCCTTCCTTTGCTTCTTCTCCGCGCGCTCCTCCCCTTCCACCTGGTCGGGGCAAGCAAATCGATTTTCCTCGGCGCCGTCGCCACCACGGCCAGAGCGCGCGCATTCCCCGACGGCTGGTTCGCGAAGCCTTTGGGGCAATCCCGCGGGCCGCTGGGGCGCGGGGGCAGGCGGTCGGGACAGCCCCGCGGGCCAAGCCGTTGGGACAACCCCGCGGGCTTCGAGCGGGGCGCAGCCGCGCTCAGGCGGGAGGCAGCATGAACCCAAGCTCTGCGGCGAGCTGTTCGGCCTCATCCCTGGATGTTTCCGTTCTCTTGTCGAACTCGCTTGCCCCGACCAGGGTGAAAGGGGAGGAGCGCGCGGAGAAGAAACAGGGGAAGGACGAGGACGGGGAAGGGGTAGGGAGGGGGTGATGATGAGGAGGAAGTGGAAAAGGAAGACGAGGAGGAGGATACATAGAAGGAGGGGGGGGTAGGTGAGGGCGGATCGGCGGGCGAGAGGGGAGTGTCCGCCAGGGCGAGGAACAAAAAGGGAAGTGCACTTTTAACATATTATCATGCGGGGTCCTGCCGCAGCAGTAGTTACAGGTCGCCGATGACCCGCTCGGATTACCGACGTGAAATGCGGGACCCAGAGGGAGGGGGCTCCCGCCAGAGACGTCCTCACAATTCACTCACAGACGAAGCTCCCGCTTGATATTTCCTCCAAACTCAATCAAGCCGGGCGAACCGAAAAGTGACGACAGTTACACGTTGCCGATGGGTCTTCCGCCTGAGAATTCTTCACGCTTCACTCACAGACGAAACTCCCGCTTGATACGTCTTCCAAATTCAGGCCTGGGGAGCCAGCGTGGCGACAGTTACAGGTTGCCGATGACCCGCCCGGATTACCAACATGAAGGGCGGGACCCATAGGGAGGGGGTTCCCTTTTGAGACTTTTTGAGAATTCACTCACAAACGAGGCTCCCGCCTGATGTTTCCTCCAAATTCAGGCCTGGGAACCCCAACCGTGACGACAGTTACACGTTGCCGATGACCCGCCCGGATTACCGACATGAAATGCGGGACCCAGAGGGGGGGGGCTCCCGCTTCAGAATTCCTCACACTTCACTCGCAGACGATGCTCCCGCTTGGTACTTCCTCCAAATTCAAGCTTGGCGAGCCCAAAAGTGACGACAGTTACACGTTGCCGGTGACCCGGTCGGATTACCAACATCAAGTACGGGACCCATAGGGAGGGGACTCCCGCCAGAGATGTCCTCACAATTCGCTCACAAACGAGGCTCCCGCTTGATACTTCCTCCAAATTCAGGCCTGGGGAGCTTCAGAGTGGCGACAGTTACAGGTTGTCGATGACCCGCCCGGATTACCAACATGAAGGGCGGGACCCAGAGGGAGGGGGCTCCCGCTTGAGACGCCTTCACTATTCACTCACAAA